GGGGAGATAAGGACGATAGATGTTTGATAGCAAAGAGGGGGCAAATTTACCCACACAAGAGCTCCCGCCAACCACCCACAGCGAAGAAGTTGAGAGAGCTGTAGGCCCTAGAACCTAGGTGTCTTTCTGACCTATCGACTGTCTGTGTTTCATAGCTCAGATGTCTCTGCCTTCAAATTACTCATACTGTAGGCCTACAGACAGAGACATTAAAGTGGACCTTAGAACTGTTTTTGAAACCGAAAACGGTCCTCTTGTTTACTTGCAATAAAATTAAAAGGCCTTCGTAAGTTTAACAGTGCTTGTAAGGGGGAAAAGGGTAATATTAGTTAGAGTGTGGGTGGTTGGCGGGTGCTCTGGTGTGGTCTGCTCCTTCTTTCCTATCAAACATCAATCATCGTTCTCTCTCCTCCTTCTTTTTGGTGTCTGTTAAGTTCGCTTGTAACACCTCTAATCTTCGGCACGTATATAACCTTATTGTGTTGCAAGTGCCTTAAAACTCTAACTAAAACAAACAAAAGATGAAGATGCCTGGAGGCTTTTGCTATGACAACAATAGTAACAACAATGTGTATTGTTCGTCTGTAAAGTACACCTCTCCTGTTTCTTGTTGGTGAAAACAAAACCCCACCAAAACAAAACAACCCCCCCCCCACACACACACACACAAAATAGTAACCAAAACAGAAAAAGGAAAACAAAAATTGCAGACTGACGTCAATGACAATATTTTTATCCGAAATCCGATAAAGTCATCCTCCAAATATGTCACCAGTTATCCTCTCCTAATCTCAACCAGAGCCACTGGGGCTCTTCATATATATCTGTGTGGGCGGTTAGAGGATGCCCATGCACCGCCTGTTTGTTCTTTATCCTCTATAATATATTATGGTCACTTTTAAGCACAAGTGGGCTCTCCCGAAAAAAGCTGTTTTGAAAAAATCAAATGTAAAGTCTTTGACTCTTATTCAGTTTCTTTACGAAACAAGGAGAGTTTTCTCTATAACCAAACAAATATACACACCAATGAAACCAAACTTCTCCTATAGGTAAGGTAGAGTAATGCCCACTTTTGGTGTAGATCAACATTTCTGAAAACCCCCTGTAATCTGGGTTAGCTCGCTTGTCCTTTAAAGCGACCATTTTATTATAGATGTTCTTCTGTTGCTGTTTGCTGTCTTGACTTGCCTTTTCTGCACTAAAAGCCGGTTGTCACAGAGTTTTGGTGGGGTTTTTTCATGTATATTATATGTCATTTTTCCTTGTTTAAAAAAGAACCAAAAACTATTTATTCATTACTTTTCAATTATTTCTTTTTATTAGCTTTTATATTTTGAAAAAACCCTTCTAACTCCAGAATGAAACCTGCATTTTTAAAAGATCTTTTTCATTTCTTTTCCGCCTAAGGTAAGTATTATGGATTAGAATAGCATATCATTATAAGAACATTTCAATTTATTTCACAACTGTCTGGTTGGGGGGTTTTTCTTGGGTTTTTTTTGGTGGGTTTTTTTGTGTTTTGCTTATTGGTTTTTGTTATTTTGTTATTTAAATTTTTTAAATTTTTTTTGCTTTCCTATTTCCTCGGCCGGGACAGGATTTCTGTCTGTCTGTCAGCCCGCTTCTAGTTACACCTTGTCTTGGCCTTTCTCTCCGTCGTTATAATTCCTGGGAGTCTTTGGGGAATTCTTCCTCATTTTAATAGTTTCATTGGTCGATAGCTCCACAAGATTGGATTTCCGTGGACGCCAAGCGAGAATGTATACACAGAGGCGTAGTAACAATGCGGGGAGGACTTGTGTTTAATGAAAGAATGAAATTAGAGATACGAGTTTCTTATTCATATTTTTATTATTGAGGAAAGAGAAAGAGGGGGTTGGGGGGGGGGGTTGTCTTGTTGCGTGCGCTTTCTGTCTCTGTCTCTCTGTCTTTCTGTCTCTATGTCTTCCTGTCTCGCTGTCTGCGTGTGTCTCTGTCTGTCTGTCTGTCTGTCTCTCTGTCTGTCTATCTGTCTGTCTGTCTGTGTGTTTGTCTGTCTCTCTGTCTCTCTCTCTCTGTCTCTCTCTCTCT